CGTATAACTACATACAAGTACCTCTACTTACACGTATAACTACATTGAAATACCCCTACATACAAGTACCTCCACTTACACGTATAACTACATTGAAATACCCCTACACACAAGTACCTCTACTTAGATGTATAACCACATTCAAGTACCCTAAAACACAAGTACCTCTACTTACACGTATAACTACATTGAAATACCCCTACATACAAGTACCTCCACTTACACGTATAACTACATTCAAGTATCCCTACATACAAGTACCTCTATATTCAAGTACCCCTACATACATGTACCTCCACTTACACGTATAACTACATTCAAGTATCCCTACATACAAGTACCTCTATATTCAAGTACCCCTACATACAAGTACCTCTATTTACACGTATAACTACATTCATGTACCCCTACATACAAGTACCTCTACTTACACGTATAACTACATACAAGTACCTCTACTTACACGTATACTTACATTCAAGTCTCCCTACATACAAGTACCTCTACTTACACGTGTAACTACATTGAAATACCCCTACATACAAGTACCTCTACTTACACATATAACTACATTCAAGTACCCCTACATACAAGTACCTCTACTTACACCTATAACTACATTTAAGTACCCCTACATACAAGTACCTCTACTTACACCTATAACTACATTCAAGTACCCCTACATACAAGTACCTCTACTTACACGTATAACCACATTCAAGTACCCCTACATACAAGTACCTCTACTAACACGTATAACTACATTCAAGTACCCCTACATACAAGTACCTCTACTTAGACGTATAACTACATTCAAGTACCCCTACATACAAGTACCTCTACTAACACGTATAACTACATTCAAGTACCTCTAAAACACAAGTACCTCTACTTACACGTATAACTACATTGAAATACCCCTACATACAAGTACCTCTACTAACACGTATAACTACATTCAAGTCTCCCTACATACAAGTACTTCTACTCACAGGTATAACTACATTGAAATACCCCTACATACAAGTACCTCTACTTACATGTATAACTACATTCAAGTACCCCTACACACAAGAATCTCTACTCACAGGTATAACTACATTAAAATACCCCTACATACAAGTACCTCTACTTACATGTGTAACTACATTCAAGTACCCCTACATACAAGTACCTCTACTTATACGTATAACTACATTGAAATACCCCTACATACAAGTACCTCTACTTACATGTGTAACTACATTCAAGTACCCCTACATGCAAGTACCTCCACTCACAGGTATAACTACATTGAAATACCCCTACATACAAGTACCTCTACTTACACGTATAACTACATTCAAGTACCCCTACATACAAGTACCTCTACTTACATGTGTAACTACATTCAAGTACCCCTACATACAAGTACCTCTACTCACAGGTATAACTACATTGAAATACCCCTACATACAAGTACCTCTACTTACATGTATAACTACATTCAAGTACCCCTACACACAAGAATCTCTACTCACACGTATAACTACATTAAAATACCCCTACATACAAGTACCTCTACTTACATGTGTAACTACATTCAAGTACCCCTACATACAAGTACCTCTACTTATACGTATAACTACATTGAAATACCCCTACATACAAGTACCTCTACTTACATGTGTAACTACATTCAAGTACCCCTACATACAAGTACCTCTACTCACAGGTATAACTACATTGAAATACCCCTACATACAAGTACCTCTACTTACACGTATAACTACATTCAAGTACCCCTACATACAAGTACCTCTACTTACATGTGTAACTACATTCAAGTACCCCTACATACAAGTACCTCTGCTTACACGTATAACTACATTCAAGTATTCCAAAATAGAAGTATCTCCACTTACACGTATAACTACATTCAAGTATCCCTACATACAAGTACCTCTATATTCAAGTACCCCTACATACAAGTACCTCTACACACAAGTACCTCTACTTACACGTATAAGTACATTCAAGTATCCCTACATACAAGTACCTCTACTTTCACGTTTAACTACATTCAAGTACCCCTACATACAAGTACACTACTGCCTAGAAGTTCATTCCCCTTACACGCATGGGCAACGCGTTACGCAACCCGTATGCACCCCGTTCGCCACTCGTGTGCAACGCGTGACACACTTATTACAGGGGGAACAAACTTTTGACCAAAGGAGGACCCGTGTTTAGCTGATTTTGGAGAAAGTAACAAGGAGATATTTTTTTATTTCCTGACGAAAAAAGTTAATACACATATTATTATATGTACTTGCTGATGTCTCATTTTTAGATGTGATATGAGTACTGTTGTGGCTTCTACATGATGTTTTGCGATGGTGTGAGGAGAGTACATGATCCTGTTAAATGTTAGTGCGGTCTCTTTGTCTGAGCTCCATAGCCATGGCGCTGGGAAAGGGCAGCATTTAATTAATGAGAGTAGGTTATATCATGGAGGATACACTTTGGGGAGAGGGTTCTACTAATTACCGTACCACAGGAAGAGACCTATAGACGTGAGCGCGGGGTTGTGTATCAGATGGCCTTTGCATAAAGGCCGCCATGAGAGGTAAACATTGAGTGTTGTTTTCACGGGCTTGTTGAATAAAATCCCAGCGCTACTGTCAATATATCTTCTACTTACGATTTACGATATGTATTGTTTCAACGTACATTGATGGTTTACTAGCCATATCTTTTAGAGTATTTGTCAATTGTGTTGAGCTTACAAGCAATAATTGTAATTTGTGGTTTACATGCCAAATTAAAACATGAAGTAAGTACGATAGTAAATAATTATATTCAAATTGCATTAAAATACAATGATACATATGTAACCCTAAAGCCTGTGTTCCACATTCAGAGCCAGGAGGAAAAATTATAAAACAAAGGGAAGAACTTTTCCCTTACTTTAATGTAGAGACATCATCTGAATGTGACTATATATGTAAATCTTACAATACTGTACTTATCTTCACGAATTATTAACAAGATGGGCAGAAGGTTCACGGAGACGAAGGCTATAGATACAATACCATATTAGATTTTTTAGATGATAAAAATTATTTGATAATAAATTCAGTTATTGATGTCTAAAAACCGATTTGCTATATTAATAAACATTTCAAGATAAAATTCAAATCAAATTTGTGATATAAATTCATTCTTTGGTATCCATACAAAAATGTATATGCGTCAGTATGGTTTATCAACACATGCATAACACTTATTCACGCTTGGTGTGGCAGACTGAAAATAGAACATTATGATAGCGTCAGCAGGGATAATAGAAGTCATAAGACACAACTTTATTTGCTTTTCTGGCTATAGACCATGGTATATGAAGATGTTTCACATGTTTAAGTTAATAGATTATTAACAACAATACAGATCAAATATTGTGTTCAATGAAAGAAAACGTTGATATATTTTTAACACACTTATTTTTGTACTTTTAAACAAACTGTGACTTAAAGACATTTTCGCTTATTGTAATAACATCAAGGTAAAACACTATATCTATCTCTGAAATCCACGAGCATAGTTGCTGCCAAACATAAGAACATAAGGGCGGCCATTTTTGGAGTGTAGAGCGTAGCTCAATTTGATTAAAGATTTATTTACAATTTGATTAACTATAATACAATTAATATTAAAATTTATTCATGCCCAGTTAACAAGTTATCAGTGAGATAGTATATAAATACTGGGAACGGTGAACAACTTCATTGTAAATAGACAAATGCACCTGTGAATGGTCAAGGATTTAAATACCGAGTGAAACAAAGACGAGGTGCCAGCCTACACTGGAAATGCTGTATGCTGCATGTCCAGCCTGCATCAACACCTCTAGTGATCTATTCGTGATTCCGAGCCTTGCGCATAACCATTGTCAAGACCCGATTGAGTGACCTCCTTCCATCAACGTGAAAGGATTACCCACAGAGAAAGAAAGGATTAAAATCCTAAAGATATCCTATCCACATGGCATAAGCACTCAAAACCAATTTGCTCTAATAGTAAACTATCACCTTTGGTATCCCCAACAATACTCACCATGGTCATTGGGCAAATGTAAAAATCACAAACCCTAACGAGATTCTGTCTACATGGTCACACCCAGTGATTGTGAAGATCTCAAATTCTATCAACAATGAGACAACATGTTAATATTCATTTCAAATATCCTCTTAGAGTAAGTGATAAATGTCCCATACATTCAAGTACCTACAGCCAAGTGCCCGTACATGCACCTACCTGCATATACATGTACTCCTACAAACATGTACTCCTCCATACAAGTACCTCTGCATACAAGTACCTCTACAAACAAGTACCGCTACATTCAAGTACCCATACATACACGTATCCACATATACAAGTACTCCTAGATACAAGTACCTCTACAAACAATTTCCCCTACATCCAAGTACCGCTACATTCAAGTACCACTACATACAAGTACTGCTACATTCAAGTAACCCTACAAACACATATCCACATATAGATGTACTCCTACATACAAATACCTCTACATTCAAGTACCTCTACATACACGTATCCACATATACATGTACTCCTACATACAAATATCTCTACATACAAGTACCTCTACATACACGTATCCTTTCAAACACATACCCCTACATTCAATTACCCCTACGTAACAGTCAGGAAATAGTTATGGTAGTAAACCTCTTCTTCCCAAACATTGTCTTCCTTAACATCACACACTTAAAGAAAGGAACATTGCACTAGTGGGAGTTGTTCTAGGATGTTTTGTTTTAGTTTTCAGCAGGTGCGTGCTCCTTTGTGAACTGTACTTCAAACACTCGCTGTGTGGAGAGACGTCGAGGTGGTGCAGTCTGTGTTGAGGGTAAGACTCCTTTAATGACCAAGACATGACAAGACAAGACCTAATGTGAAACATTCACTAGATCACTATTACATGTAATATATAGGGTGAGGGTGTCGGTGAGGGTGTCGATGATGGTGAGGGTGAGGCTGCAGATAAGGGTGAGGGTTACGATGACAGTGAGGATATAGCTGAGGGTGAGGTGTAAATGTAGCTGAGGATGAGGGTGAGGGTGAAGGTATCGATGAAGATGATGGTGTAGATAAGGGTGATGTGTAGTTGAGAAGGAGGGTGTAGGTGTTAGGGTGTAGATTAGGGTGAGGGTATAGTTTATGGTGGTGGTATATGGAAGATGAGGGCGTTAGTGAGAATGGAGATGCAGCTAAAGGTGAGGATGAAGGCGATAGTGTGTGTGTGTGTGTGAGGGGGGGGGGGGGGTAACTGAGAGTGGTGGTGTCGCTAAGAGTGGAGGGGTTGCTAATAGTGGAGGTGTCGCTGAGAGTGGAGGGGTTGCAGAGAGCAGAGATGTCGCTGAGAGTGGAGGGGTCTCTTATAGTAGAGGGGTTGCTGAGAGTGGAGGGGTCTCTTATAGTAGAGGGGTTGCTGAGAGTGAAGGAATAGCTGAGAGTGGAGTAGTCGCTGAGAGAGTAGGGGTTGCTGAGAGTGGAGGAGTTGCTGAGAGTGGAGGCGTTGCAGAGAGTAGAGGGGTTGCAGAGAGTGGAGGGGTTGCTGAGAGTGGAGGGGTTGCAGAGAGTGGAGGGGTTGCTGAGAGCGGAGGGGTTGCTGAGAGTGGAGGCGTTGCTGAGAGTGGAGGCGTTGCAGAGAGTAGAGGGGTTGCTGAGAGTGGAGGTGTCGCTGAGAGTGGAGAGGTTGCAGAGAATGGAGGGGTTGCTGAGAGTGGAGGTGTCGCTGAGAGTGGAGAGGTTGCAGAGAATGGAGGAGTTGCTGAGAGTGGAGGGGTTGCAGAGAGTAGAGAGGTTGCTGAGAGTGGAGGTGTAGCTGAGAGTAGAGAGGTTGCAGAGAATGGAGGAGTTGCTGAGAGTGGAGGCGTTGCAGAGAGTAGAGGGGTTGCTGAGAGTGGAGGTGTCGCTGAGAGTGGAGAGGTTGCAGAGAGTGGAGGGGTAGTTGAGAGTGGAGGGGTAGCTGAGAGTGGAGGAGTTGCTGAGAGTGGAGGCGTTGCAGAGAGTAGAGGGGTTGCTGAGAGTGGAGGTGTCGCTGAGAGTGGAGGCGTTGCTGAGAGAGGAGGCGCTGCAGAGAGTAGAGGGGTTGCTGAGAGTGGAGGTGTCGCTGAGAGTGGAGAGGTTGCAGAGAATGGAGGAGTTGCTGAGAGTGGAGGGGTTGCAGAGAGTAGAGAGGTTGCTGAGAGTGGAGGTGTAGCTGAGAGTGGAGAGGTTGCAGAGAATGGAGGAGTTGCTGAGAGTGGAGGAGTTGCAGAGAGTAGAGGGGTTGCTGAGAGTGGAGGTGTCGCTGAGAGTGGAGAGGTTGCAGAGAGTGGAGGGGTAGCTGAGAGTGGAGGGGTTGCTGAGAGTGGAGGAGTTGCTGAGAGTGGAGGGGTAGCTGAGAGAGGAGGGGTTGCTGAGAGTGGAGGAGTTGCTGAGAGTGGAGGTGTCGCTGAGAGCGGAGAGGTTGCAGAGAGTGGAGGGGTTGCTGAGAGTGGAGGGGTAGCTGAGAGTTGAGGGGTTGTTGAGAGCGGAGGGGTAGCTGAGAGTGGAGGTGTCACTGAGAGTGGAGGGGTCACTGAAAGTGCAGATGTTGCTGAGAGTTACGGTCCAGTGTAGAGTAATGGGGCAGCTGAAAGTGAAAGTGTCGTTGAAATGGATGACGTAGCCGAGGGGGATGGTTGAGCTGAGAATATCATATTTGAGAGTGAAGGTTGAGTAAGGGTGTGGTAGAGGGTAAAGGTGCAAGTGTGGGTGACAGCGGAGACGAGGGTAGGGGTGTTGGTTGCGGTTATGGTACCGCTGCGTGTGAAGGTGTACATGAGAAGAGAGATTAGACGAGGGTGAGGGTGTAGATAAGGATGAGGGTGCACACGGGTGTGACGATTTAGGTGAGGATGAGGGTGTAGACGAGGGTGAGGTGTAGACGAGGGTGAGGGTGTAGGCGAGGTCTATAGTGTAAATGAGGGTGAGGGTGCAGACGGGTGTGACGGTGTAGATGAGGATGAGGGTATAGATGAGGGTGAGGGTATAGATGAGGGTGAGGGTATAGATGAATGTGAGGGTATAGATGACGATGAAGGTATAGATGAAGGTGAGGGTATAGATGAGGGTGAGGGTATAGACGAGGGTGAGGGTATAGATGAAGGTGAGGGTATAGATGAGGGTGATGGTATAGATGAAGGTGAGGGTATAGATGAGGGTGATTGTATAGATGAAGGTGAGGGTATAGATGAGGGTGAGGGTATAGATGAGGGTGATTGTATAGATATAGGTGGGGGTATAGATGAGGGTGAGGGTATAGATGAAGGTGAAGGTATAGATGAAGGTGAGGGTATAGATGAGGGTGAGGGTATAGATGAGGGTGATGGTATAGATGAAGGTGAGGGTATAGATGAGGGTGATTGTATAGATGAAGGTGAGGGTATAGATGAGGGTGAGGGTATAGATGAAGGTGAGGGTATAGATGAGGGTGATGGTAAAGATGAAGGTGGGGGTATAGATGAGGGTGAGGGTATAGATGAGGGTGAGGGTATAGATGAGGGTGAGGGTATAGATGAGGGTGAGGGTATAGATGAGGGTGATGGTATAGATGAAGGTGAGGGTATAGATGAGGGTGATGGTATAGATGAAGGTGAGGGTATAGATGAGGGTGATGGTAAGATGAAGGTGAGGGTATAGATGAGGGTGAGGGTATAGATGAGGGTGATTGTATAGATATAGGTGGGGGTATAGATGAGGGTGAGGGTATAGATGAAGGTGAGGGTATAGATGAGGGTGATGGTATAGATGAAGGTGAGGTTATAGATGAGGGTGATTGTATAGATATAGGTGGGGGTATAGATGAGGGTGAGGGTTTAGAGGCCCTGAAACATCAATGGTATATAATCATTTTCAACATGATGTTAGTCTGGGGCTATATTTAAGTTCCTTTGCCGCATTTTTAATTTCTTAAATGTTTTACTTAATAGTTGGCAATCTTACACTTTTTTTCTGTTAAAATTATTGCTGAGTTATAATTTTTTGCGTTAAAAAAATTATAGAAAGTGTCGAAATATGGCATTAAGGCAATTGATTGTGGCTTTATTTTTATTGATAAACTTTGAGGTTTTTTCTTGGTGAATGTTTTAGATTTTCCCGAAGCATCTTATTTAATTAATTTACTGTTGTATAAATGCTTTCAACACTTTTCCATTGGCTTTAGCATATTGCTGATTTAAACACCTCATTTAGTACACTATGGTATTTCTTCAGACGTTTCATTGAGTTATGACATTACATTCTTCAGTCTTTTCTTAACCTGGGATTACTTTTCTCTTCAATAATTCTAAGGGTTCCATATCATTTGCGTACAGCCGACATCAGCTTTATACAATTGCGTCACACCGGCTGGTATTTTTTGAAAAATGTGCTTTTAAGGCCATTCAGAGCAGAGAAACTGGGTGACACAGAAGATTTCTGTACGTGTTGGATATCTATGTTGGTTCTTTTTGCTTACATCATTTTGGCTTTTGACATTCTTTGATATTATAAGCTATTTTTTCCTAAACTGGGAATATATAGGAACTTAAATTAAACGTCACAGGGCAATGTACGTCTGATTACATAGATGAGAAGTTAATTATATATACGTCCAAAAAAAAGGGGTAAAAGCAATAATGATCATGTGGTATATCTATAATAATAGTATCTATACATGTTGATTATCCAATTATTTAATCTTTACGGTGGTTCTACCATTGCATATTTGTATTTTGTGGCATATACACACCCAAGACTACGAACACTGTCAGTGTACAGCGTGGGTGTACGTTCAGCCACAGTGGGAGAACCATCAAATCTGATGTAAAGGAGTTAAATAAATAAGTCTTTACATTTCCCACAAGCATTGGCTTCTTGCCACATTGTTTCGAAGTTATACTCTAAAACTTGTAATAGGAAAGCAGTTTAAACATACAGATTCTAGTGCGGTAGAAAACAAAGAGGATAGAGCATCTGCCCAGCGAGCGGAAGGGTGGGGGTCCCACCTGGCCACGTCATACAAAACAACATTGAAAGATGGTACTTGTTGTTACCCTGCCTGCCGTCGGCATTAAGGGGCTGGAACTAGGACTGGTCGGCTCAGAGTCATTATATCGAATCTGAGTGGAGTATTCATGAAAACCTGTGGCATGGTATCTCAGTGGGCTAGCAGTAGAGCATCGGCATAAGTCCGGACTAGCACATGAAGCCACACACACACACACACGGACACACATTTTCATTATCTTGAAATTTAAAGTTAAAAGTATGTATCTTGAAATTTCAAGATAATAAGTGGAAATTTGAAGACAAAAAGTTAAATCTTAAAATTTCAGCTTATCATCATGAAATTTCAACTAAGTATGTGTATCTTGACATTTCAACTTAGTTAATTGAAGATTATCATAGTATCTTAAAATTTTAAAATATTAATTTGAAATTTCAAGATAAAATCATAAACTTATTACATTGAAATTTCAAGATAATTGTCTTCCAATTTCAGCTTCGTATGCATCATGAATTTGCAAGTTAGTATCTAGATATTTGAAGAAAGAAATATAAAAACAAGTGGCCCTAAAGAGGCGAGTGGCGATGTTAGATCATCATATGTTACCCTTGATGTTACCTCGTCTGTTCACTTTTCCATCAGAAGTCACTACCACCACTATGACAACTACCACAGCTCCCACATCTACGAATACGACTACAATGTGTTCTACCACAGAAAAGCAGTCAAAGGGTAGGTGCAACTGGACAAGCCTCGTGTGTGCCACTGTCATTATGTCGGTTTCTATTACTGTAATAATTTTACAAAGTGCAAACTATACACATCCAACAAAAATAGCAATTGAAAACGTAATAGGAATTTAATATATTCTGTATCGCATTCTGGAAGCTGTGTAAATAATAGTAAACTTGTTCAAACAATATGTGTTATTGGGACACAGTTTAATATATAGATTTACTTCTGCTATGATGTGACTGGCGATGTTAGATCATAATATTCTACCACTGTTATAAATTTTCACTTATGATTTATTTTTCACTATGTTCAGTGGTGAGCAGGCCTTTCTTTTATTTACATTTTAACATTCAATTTTCACTGTTTTGCTAAACATTTACTTAAGTTCGCTAAGCATATCACATATATAGATAATCTCTCCCAAGTGTCTTTTGATATCAAATATATCAACTAATGTTGATATATTTGATATCAAAAGACACGAGGGTGTGATTCTATTTATCATCCAACATCATTCTTCCAACTTTTTTCAGTTTCTAGACTGTATTAAGCAGTGTCTTAAGAGTTAAAAGCACTACAAACAGCTTCAGTAGCAGAGCCATTAGTGATGTCATTTGATTGTGACGTCATGGTAACCAAGCCATATCTCTTACGGGAGCCAGTTCTGGATGATAAATATTTATGTCATCCAGTGATCACGTTATTGGTCTATTCTTGCAGTTCCACAAACATACGTTGGGTGTTACGAAGATCGAGCGATCCGTGTACTTCAACATGACCAGAAAATGGACCGTACATACATGACATTTGAAGCCTGCAAACAACGCTGCTACGGACAACACTACACCTATTTCGGAATCGAGGTAGACAAAGATACAATTGAATAGATTAAAACAGTCAACAACTCACGTGCCATTAATCGTGTATAACATTATTGTTACATTTTTCAAATCAGTTGAAATAGCGATTATCACTTACTGATTTTGAAATCAAGCAGGCTCAATGCGATAGTTGACCAAGGCAATGAACATTACACCAGCAAATGTACCTAGCACGATACCGAGACGAGCATGTGAAAGCTTTTTTATACCTCAAATTAAAGTTTATTCAATGAAAAAAAAACTATTTCTATTTATCATCTATTTTCAAATAAGAACCATCCATGTGGTCCTACAATACTATAACATGAGAAATTGAAAATGTCCACATATTCAATATTGATTATTCCTCACGTAGAACAGTTCGAATGATAACCGATTTAATATAATATCAATTTGAGGCAAGATCCTGGTTAGCTAAGTTATGGAACATGGCTACCAATGGCAAGCAAAGTATGTATCAGTACAGGTACACATGGTATTAAGGTAAGGATGTTTTATCTATTCAGTAGTAACGATGCAAACACTATTGACATAAGCCTCATCAGAATGCTTTCCCCAAGAATATTTGTTTGCCACAGTTCCAACTTTGTCATGTGTGGATACCAAATGGACAGGATGGAAGGCTGTAACGACTTAATAGATTTCTTTTCATGGACCAGTACATCAGACCAGTAGATCAGATTAGTACATCAGAGAAGTACATCTGACCAGTACATCAGACAAGTAGATCAGATTAGTACATCAGAGAAGTACATCTGACCAGTACATATGGCCACTATGTCAGACCATTTCGTCATAACAAAACATCAGTAAATGCCGGATAGTAACCACGAGATATTCAGATTTCTGCTTCTGGCAACCTGCAGAATTTTAACATGAGATGTTTTTTTCTGACATGGACGAGCACCACACTTCCAGTGTGTCTATTCCTCCTTTAGAATTTCAGGCTCAGACATATACGTCAGGTTATCGAGGCTTTGGTGTTGGTTCCTCAAAATAAGCACTGACATTCAGTAATGCACATGCTGCTTCTGATTACAGGTTGGTGAAGAATGCTACTGTGGTAATGTCATCAAAGATGGGTACGGCAAGAAACCTGACTGTGAATGCCACCTGCCATGTACTGGTGACAAATCTAAATTCACGATGTGTGGAGGACACTGGAGGATATCCATCTATAAGAAAGATTAGTGGAAAACGGAGTTATCTTTGTTGTCTGATATTGCTGAGGTGCCACCGAGGTTCATGTTTGTTGTCTAATTTTGTTTCGATGGAATTCAATAAATTCCATTATCACTTCAGATTTCTGAATACAAATTGGGAATTGTCCCAACCTTCCTGTGTCACTGTCACATAAGCACTATCGTTATTATTTCTGACTTCACTCTCATACATATGTCAGAAAACAATGTCTTGATGTAAGTCGCGATCGACGATACGTAACAAGATAAGGATGCTGTGTTATTACATAATTATATCTTCTGTGGCGATGCAACTGTGACAGCTGGACAACAAACTTCACGGAACTCGGTGGGTTTGATGGATGTTTCCATCTTACGTCACCATAGCCTGCTGTGTAGGTGTCATTGTTCGGTCTGACATGTAAACGCCTGCTGTTAGATTTGCCTGTAGATATACTGTAGATAATGATAACTTTAAGAATCGTTTGACTTCGCTGATATTTAGTTTTGAAATATATCAGAAAATTATAGAAAATGTTGGAACCATATACGAAGTATTTGGCACTAGAATGTATTGACAGAATTGAGAATTTCCTGTGGGGACATGTACTAAACTCTGCCAGAGTGCGAGTTTAAATCTTGTGTCACACCAGCAACTATTCACCTGTATTGGTCTCTATAATCACAACTGGTGCTATCATAATTTTTCAAATCCAATCCTCCCACCAAGCTCAATAAACAGTATACACGTGTTGATAGCCGCACTGACGCAATTAAAGGGGCTTTGATCTCTGACAATTCTCCGGGGCGGGATGCTGCCTATGCTCTTTGATATAGGCAAATACCTAGCATGTAAAAATATTTATTAAATATAAAACTTTCTCCATGATGGTATATACACTGGGCACGTAAACGTAAAACAAACTTGTGACAGAGTCACTGGTGCCTTGATATGCAACAAGAAAGAATATTGTTTAATTCCACACGACCCTGATCATCGGTTTCCTCCACTACATGTATGGTTGGATGCACTCCCCCCGGCCATTTATGAGACAACAGACAGTGTCGTCCGTTTCGCTTTGAACAACCACCCTACCCTGTCGGTAGGAGTTATCAACAGGTTCGATTACACTAAATCAGAACCAGTTGTGACTGTGCCGTTTTCGTACAGATCGAGCGATATCTGCATGCTGTGATTGGATGATATTGTGTAAGAGTTTTGTGTCTTTTAAATATTCATCCATCAAGTTATTGAAACGATATCGATATTTCGATATTAAGCCTTCTTGAACATGACGATTTATGCTGAATGTGACCACAGATATTTTCCAGTAGGTGACATTTTGTGTGGAACTGGGGATGGTGTGTAAATCTTCCGGTACTCGGAAAAGGAGGTGGCTAAGCTAGTCATTTTTTGTTTTTATTGCAGCTCTAAGGCCAAACAATGCACACACGAACAGGTAATATCTGTTGAATGTTTATTTATTTTTTTAAAAATGCGTTACTATAGAAGTCAACGAGAAAATGTTGTGCACCGTGTGCAATAAACTGTGTGCATCGTCAGTGTCGAATAACGTTGTGATAGTTCTGAAAAATCCTAACAGTCCTCTTGTTTGTTAAAATACTTCCGGCAGTAAGTCAGCGAACTGGAAGATCAACTGGCTGTAACATTCCTTATACCAGTTGAGGGTTCTTTTTGTTGAAATATGTAGCAGACATAACATTAAAAGTCTAATACTGTCAACATGATATGGCCAGGAGACATCTGTTGTGTGTATAATGAGAGGTGCGCCCTAAAGTGTTTGTCGTAGAATGTGAAAAGGTGTCCTTGCTTAATCTTCTCGAAAATACATCCCTGTGTATTGAATGTGCAATGTGTGACTGTAATCAGGGGGTTATACGAACGCTCGCTAAACATCCTTCAGAAAATCTAAAGAATTCATGCAGCCGATAACGTCATCAACATTATCGTAATAACACCATCATCATTATCGACAAAACATCATCATTATCGTCAGGACAACACCATCATTATCGTCAAAACATCCTCATCATTATCGTCAAAACATCATCATTAACGTCACAACATCATCTTCATTATCGTCAAAACATCATCATCATTATCGTCGAAACATCTTTATCATTATTGTCAAAACATCAAAATCTACAATAATGAGTGCAGTTAAAGCATGAACTGCACGTGCAACGCGTGACACTCCACCACAGTTCCCTGTTTAGTGGAAATGAATTCCTCCAGCCTACAATCGACATTTGTGAAATGTTTGTTTAGCAGCAGGCATCAATATTGACACCAAATGTAAATTGAAAGTTTTATCACACAATAAAAGCCATTCGTGTGTCATACACTGATTGGATTAGGCTATCTACTCATTGTTAAGTGGAACGTGAGTGATATCAGTTGCCATAATTAACTCTGTCGTGATGAAGAAGTGAAGTAAAAGATTGAACTTCTCGTCAACATTACATTTGCCTTAACAGGCAGTTAAGAATAACACACATAAACCTGAATATTTCATACGCCTCAAAAGACAGATAGTAATTGTGATTCGAACGACTTCATAAGTGTTCAAACAGTTATACGAAGTGTTTTATCACAATTACATTGGATCTTTCAGGCAAAAGTAAGTCTCCATTTCAAAATGGGTAATGTAAACAAGAATAACTGCAGTACAATCTTTAATATGTCACTGCCACCTTGGATGTAATTTTATGGCAGGTGTCACAAAAATATAACAGCACAATCAGGATAAGGAAATGGATCCTTGTGATCCAGGTGATCCAGGGTAGTAAATTAAAATATTCTGATAAATACCCTGGATCTATTCGCCATTCGTGTCGGAAGTGACGTCACAGTCTCCGTTTCTCACACATTGTATCACTGATATCGGATAGAATTCGTCTTGCTCACGGGGGTTATTTTTAGCATCATGCATGGCGCCAAATAGGTAATGGTAATGTATCGTAGCAGAGTGGAGATGTAATACAGGGGCTAAGTGTAGGAGTGTACTGACACAAAAACAGTTGAACAGTCTAACCGCGAACGTCTTCCATTCAAGAAATGGTACAATTGTCATAAGATTTGAAGGTGTTATTCTGTAGATGGAGGTTATCATAAAGGGTGAAAGGCTGTAAGAAATACAAACACAAATGTTTACTTAACCTGGTCGCTAGCAAATAATATCATGTGTTCAACAAAAAGTGTCCTCGTTTTAGCATAATTACGGTAGTTTGCTTTACAACGAAAATAACACAAAGCCGTTAAACAGACTTTAAAGACACACTAAAACAACGTAAGAAATATCCTTTAACATGTAACCTTATGTGACAAATCTAACACATACATTGAATGCGTCAGCATATTAAAAAAGCGCGTGAAAACTTCGTCACCGTACACAGCTTGTCAAAGTGAATACACGACATATTATCCTATGACAGACCAATTAAACTGTACACAAACATATCTTGACCATACTATAATAAATAAACTGCCAGTACTCACCCTTTGGGTTGTCACAAGTGGTCAGATCCTGATTTGCCTTATTGCCAGAGCGAACGGCGTGGTTTGTCTCGCTTCCCATTACGCAACGACAAATTTGACTCATGCACAGGAGAGTTCCGACAGCCAAGGAGCATATATTACAGAAAGTGTCATGCTGTAACAGCACAAATCGTTAGAGTAAGTTGTCAATGTTTGGTTGTTTGGTTGGTTTGTTGTTTTAAGCCGCACTCAGCACTATTCCAGTTATATGACGGACGGTGGTCTGTAAATAATCGAGTCTGGACCAGAAAATCCAGTGACATACAGGTGCAATTTTGAATGGTGGGTTAAATTCATTTTATGTCATATTTTGGGACTTATAAATAATATTTCAATACAATATACTTAAACGACATTTGAGGTTTAACTCTTTATGTTGCATAACTCAAGACACACTGTGTTAGGAACTTGGTGATCGAACATATACATGCATGCCTTACTAATTAGCAATTCTGTTCTCATGGCCACTTTCGGTGTACTTTCACGGTATAATCGCGAACATACAGCGAAGCTATTTCACGGTAAAGACGAAGGATATGATGAATGTACAGCGATAGATGTTGTAATGCAGTGTTAAGAATTACATGGTAGTGTCGAACCTCACACCTGCTAATGCACTTCTACTTCTGTTGATTGGAATTTATTATCATACCAACGATGAGTACGTATTTGCTTCCATACGTCTTTAGTTTTAAATGTTCACTCCATTTCAAACCTACCACTATGTGTTAATGTTTAGTCTTAACTGGTCATTCTGTCTCGGGGCGGTCGGGTAGCCTAGTGGTTAAAGCTTTCGCTCGTCACGCCGAAGACCCGGGTTCCATTCCCGACATGGGTACAATGTGTGAAGCCAATTTCTGGTGTCCCCCGCCGTGATATTGCTGGAATATTGCTAAAAGCGGCGTTTAACCATACTCACTCACTAACTCATTCTGTCTCACATACATCACTATGTCTCAAGTGTAAGTGTTTAGTCCTAAATGTTCAGTCTACCACTCACATTTCACTATGCATTTAGTGGTAATGTTTAGCCGTTACTGTTCATTCTGTCTCACATACATCACTATGTCTCAAGTGTAAGTGTTTAGTCTTAAATGTTCAGTCTACCACACACATATCACTATGCATTTAGTGGTAATGTTTAGCCGTTACTGTTCATTCTGTCTCACATACATCACTATGTCTCAAGTGTAAGTGTTTAGTCTTAAATGTTCAGTCTACCACTCACATTTCACTATGCATTTAGGGGTAATGTTTAGCCGTTACTGTTCATTCTGTCTCACATACAACACTATGTCTCAAGTGTAAGTGTTTAGTCTTAAATGTTCAGTCTACCACGCACAAATCACCATGTCTATAGTAATAATATTTAATCTGTATATGTTTGGTGCAACATATTATTGAGACAATACTTCTGTTTAAAGGTTTAAACAACAAACATCACGTGATGA